TTTTATGTAGATACATTTTATAATTTTACATTTACTTATAGTAAAGTATTTTAAAATATTTAGTTGAAGCTCATTCCTTTTTTTTCATTTTAATAAAATGAATAAAATTAATTTAATAATAAAAACTAGAATAAAAAATTATATTTTTTTTAGGTATATTATATTATTGTGCAAAAAGGTTGAATATTAAGCTTCTTTTTTTTTTCATATGAAAAAAAATATTAATAATGATAAAAAAAAAAAAAAAAAAAAAAAATAAAGAGAATAGGAGATTGAAGATAAATTAAAAAAAAATGATTCTATAAAATATCACTTCAAACTTTTTTTAGAAGAAAAAAGTTCACAAGTTATTTTAATGTAGATACTAAAAAAAAATTAATGAAAATAATTTGTTATTAAAAAAAAAAAATGATAAAATTAAATGAGTAGGGATATATTTAAAAATTTATTACTCTACTAAAGAATTTTCTACTTGATAATAAAATCGTTGAAAATTTTTTAGTAGTTGATTTTGAAAAAACGAGCTATTTTTACTAAGTACAAAAATATCAATTAAAGCATTATTACTTATTAATTCAAATAATGAATTAATTTCTTTTTGTATATTTAAGTATTTATTGAAAAAATGTAAAGATCTGTTTTTATATTTAGTTAATTTTTCAATAATTGATTTAAATAAAAATTGTCTTCGAATATTTAATTCTAAAAAATTATGCTTTATTTCATTTGTAATTTCATATATTTTTAGGTATTTATATTTTTTGTTTAGGAAATTCGTTTTTTTTTTTTCTTTTTCATTTTTTAGCATCCTTAATTCAAAAAACATCTCTTTTTTTACATCTTTTATAAATTTCGTTCTTTTGCTACTTGAATTTTTTTCCTTAATTTTTTTTTGAAAAGATCTATTATTACATTCTATACATTTCATAATTTTCTTCTTATTTAATTCCTTTGTATTTATATCCAATAATTTAATTTCATTTTTTATCTTTTCAATTTTATATGATTCTTCCTTTTTCAATTTTTCAAATTCATCTTCAATTTTTTTTATTTTTTCTTCAAGTATCTCAATATCCATTATTTTAAATACATTATATATATGTGTATTTTTTATAAAATCCTAGTGTCATTAGTTTTCTAAAAAATTACTATCATAAATACAAAATAATATAAGTTTCATATATAAATCATAAGTTTATTTTTTTAAAGCAAATATGATATAAATAAATAATATTTTCCTTTAAAAATAATAATTTTTTAAATGTACACATTAGTATTAAAATTATAAAAACAAAATAAACAAATTAATGTTCATTTATAAATATACTTATTTTTTTTAAAAGTAGGTTATACTTTGGGCTTATTCAGAAATATATCATTAAGAAAAAAAAAAAAAAAAAAAAAAAAAAAAAAAAAAAAA